AAAAAAATAGTAAAGAAAAAAAATAATAAGAGTTAATCGGATGAGGAATTGAGTTACCATTTCCATTTCTTTACAACATTGGGGACAATGTTGATTTTGAGTTTGGGGGTGTGGTCTTTATTTCTCAAAATTTTGTGGTATTTATTTCTTTTTGGGTTCGATTGAAAGCCAGTATGATGAAATGAAGAGTTGGTAAAATATTTTTTTTTCTTTTCCTGGAAATCATGTGAGATCCATGAGTTGTGATACATGCCTAGGGTGATTTGAGCCTAAAAATTCTAATCTCATCCACCTTTTACCCTAGCCATACATTACAACCCTCAAAAGTCCTTTTGATCTTCAATGACAAGTGAACCTTTATTAGTGAAGAGTGACACGAAAAATAGGCCTATGGTAGTTCTTATTAAGATATCACTCATAGTCTCCTTGGCACATAGGCCTATCCGGATTTTATTTGGTTGATTGAGATTGATTGTGCACACACTTACACTTTGAGAGTCTTGAGTGAAGTGAAATTGATGCTTGATGTTGAAATTCTAGATAATCTCAGTGTTTGCATTTCTTTTGAGCTTAGAGCATTATGTGGCTTTGGAGATACATGCACAGTTGTTGACTCGATACAAAACTCACACTTTTTTGTTTGTGTGTTAGTACTTGATTTGTGTTTTCTTTTTCTTTCTTTTCTTTTGCTTGAGGACAAGCAAATGTTTGAGTTTGAGGGTATTCGAAAGCGCTTATTTTATAGTCTTCAGCCTGACTGTCTCAAAAATACTTCAACTCGGATTAGAGAGGATGATGGAATATTTTGAAAAATCCATTCCACCCTCAATATATGCCTTAAGTCGTTGCCCATTCACTTTGAATCTTCTCTCTGCATCTTGAACTTCAACAAATCCGTGAGGAAAAACTTGTACCACTGTGAAGGGTCCGCTCCACCGTGAGCGAAGTTTTCCTGGAAAGAGCCGCAAGTGCGAATTAAACAATAACACCTTTTGGCCCGGAAGGAACTCTCGTTGGATGATGTGCTTGTCATGCCACTTTTTGGTGCGCTCTTTATACAACTTGGCATTTTCATAAGCTCCTTGACGAAATTCGTCCATCTCATTTAACTGCAGCAGTCTCTTTTCACCAGCGGCTTGTAGATCAAAATTAAGCTTTTTAATTGCCCAAACCGCCTTATGTTCCAACTCTACTGGCAAATGACATGCCTTTCCAAACATCAACCGGTAGGGTGACATACCGATCGGTGTCTTAAAAGCTGTGCGGTAGGCCCAAAGCGCATCATCGAGCTTTCTAGACCAATCCTTTCGTGAACTACTCATCGTTTTTTCCAAAATCCACTTCAATTCCCGATTAGAGATTTCAACTTGACCACTTGTTTAAGGGTGGTATGCCATTGCAACTTTATGCGTGACTCCATACTTAGCCAAAAGAGCTTCAAGTTGTTTGTTGCAGAAATGCTTACCTTCATGATTAATGATTGCCCTCGGAGTTCCAAAGCAGGTGAAAATATTCTTTCGTAGAAAGTTCATCACCACCTTGGAATCATTTGTTGGTAGAGCTACTGCTTCAACCCATTTGGAAACATAGTCAACCGCCACAAGAATGTAATGATTGTTGTATGACGGGGGAAATGGTCCCATGAAATCAATACCCCACACATTGAATAGCTCAACCTCCAAAATGTTATTGAGTGGCATCTCATATGGGTGAGAGATGTTCCCGGTCCGTTGGCATCGATCACATGCCATAACATAAGCTTGAGCATCTTTGAACAATGTTGGCCAAAAGAAACCAGATTGTAGTATCTTTGTTGCCGTCTTATTTGCTCCAAAATGACCGCCATAATCAGAGGTTGTAATCTTCGAAAAGTCCTTGATGAAGCGGCGATAAAACCCGGCGTGGCCTAGAAAACTTCTCACACCCTTAGTCGATGTAGGTGGCGGTAGCTTCTCAATAGTCTCGATCTTAGCCCGATCAACTTCAATTCCCTTAGCAGATACCCGGTGGCCAAGAACAATACCCTTTTGCACCATAAAATGGCACTTCTCCCAATTTAGGATTAAATTGGTCTCTTCACATCATTTTAACACAAAAGCAAGATTGGCCAAACAAGAATCAAAAGAAGATCCAAAAACTGAGAAGTCATCCATAAATACCTCAATAAAGCACTCTACCATATCAGAGAAAATTGCCATCATACACCGCTGGAAAGTCACCGGCGCATTGCAAAGGCCAAAAGGCATCCGTCGGAAGGCAAAAGTACCATATGGGCACGTAAAGGTTGTCTTTTCTTGATCTTCTGGTGCTATGGTAATTTGATTATAACCGGAATACCCATCGAGAAAACAGTAATAAGCATGGCCAGCTAACATGTCTAACATTTGATTAATGAAGGGTAAAGTAAAATGATCCTTTCTAGTGGCCTTGTTGAGCTTCCTGTAATCGATACACACCCTCCACCCGGTAACTGTTCTTGTTGGGATTAACTCATTATTCTCATTTTCAACGACCGTCATCCCTCATTTCTTGGGAACAACCTGTACAGGACTAACCCATGGGCTATCAGAAATAGGATAGATGATACCTGCATCTAAAAGCTTCAGTACTTCTGCTCTCACCACCTCCTTCATGTTCGGGTTCAACCTGCGTTGGTGTTCAATGGATGGTTTGTAGCTTTCCTCCATCAAGATTTTATGCATACAAATAGATGGGCTAATTCCCTTGATGTCAGCTATAGACCACCCCAATGCAGTTTTGTGTTCTCTCAGCACCCTTAAGAGTTTATCCTCATGTTCTTCATTTAAAATGGCAGAAATAATAACAGGAAGAGTAGGGGATTCTCCCAAGAAAGCATACCTTAGATGTGAAGGCAATGGTTTAAGATCTAGGATAGACGGCTTCTCAATAGATGGTAAAGGTCTAGGATTACCTTTTCCAAGCTCTTCAAATGGCTTCTTGAAGAAAACTGGTGGTGTAGCTTCCAAACGATTAATGCATCCTCAATCTCTGGATTATTGATGTCAACAGATCCAACGAGACAAGCTTCAAGTGGCTCGACGAGGTAGTTAACTTGAAAAACTTTCTTAACACAATCGTCGACAATGTCCACCTTCAAGCAAATTTCTGCGTCATCTGGGTACTTCATCACCTTTAAAACATTAAAAGTTACCTGTTCTTCTTGAAATCTTAGGATAAGTTGCCCTTTCTGCACATCAATAAGAGTTCTCCCAGTGGCTAAGAACGGCATACCAAGAATAATTGGGATTTATTGGTCTTCCTCTATATCAAGAACAATGAAATCGGCCGGGAAGATGAACTTGTCCACTTTTACTAAAACATCCTCGATGATTCCCCTTGGATACTTAATTGACCTATCTGCTAATTGTAGAGAAATTGTTGTCGGTTTCGCTTCCCCCAAACCTAACTTCCGATAAACGGATAGAGCCATTAAGTTGATGCTAGCCCTCAGATCACATAGGGCTTTGTCAAAGAATGAGTTTCCGATGGTGCACGGTATAGTGAAACTCCCGGGGTCTTTTAGCTTAGTTGGCAACTTCTTCTGCAATATAGCACTGCACTCTTCAGTAAGTGCAACTGTCTCATACTCCTCCAGTTTTCTTTTGTTGGAAAGGATTTCCTTCATAAACTTCACGTAGCTGGGCATTTGTTCCAGAGCATCCGCAAATGGAATGTTAATATGCAATTTCTTAAACACATCAAGAAATTTAGAAAATTGCTTATCTAACTTTCGCAAATGGATTTCCTTCATAAACTTCGCAAACGCAAGTGCACGTTATCATATCAAGTAGTAAAGTTCGTAGAAACGAGTATCGTCCCACGAGGACTGAATAATATTAATTACCAAAATTGTATCAATACTAACTTTATTTGAATGAAACAAGCAAGTGAGAATTTTTATATAAATAAAACTAAACAATTTAAGTAATTATCAGAATTCAATATTAACAAGCTCTAGGGTTTCCGATTTCACCAAACCATTCCGTCTTGAATTATCTATCTAATCAATCTTAAATTATTCTCCTTAATTGACAGTCGAAAATCCCTAAATTAATCGATGCTCCCTTCCGAGTTACATCAAAACCCCCCTTAATTGCTAACCCACTATATTCCTATGTGAATTTTAAACAATTAAAGAGTCATTAAGTTTTATGGATTTCCATGTAGCAACCACACCAACCATGCAAGTATATCCCTATCTTACATGCAATCAATGGAATTCAACACAATGATCAAAAAATATAAATCTCCTTCCGGTTTCATTATGAATTAACTAATCATCCAATTAGTGGTCAATTAATTAGAAGCATTAAGAACAGTGATGAAAACTCAACTAGGAAGAATAATTCTTCGATTGATATGATAACATAATTCAAAACATCATGATCCGGCTACATCGTAGCCCTAGAATAGGAAACTTAGAACATAATGAAAAGATAAAACATCTTAACAATATTCTTAAACATGAGAAGAGAAGAAAATATTTTGACGAATTGAAGTAGAATTCCGTTCCCGGGTGATTCGTCTTCTCCTCTGTAGTAGAAAAGTTCTCCTTTCTCTTTTCGAAGTCTCAGCCTCACCTAATTGAGTCTAAAAATTCCTATTTATAGGTTCCGGGTCGTAATGGTACTTTTGGTAATTATTTAGAGATTAAAACATGAAAATCCCGAACTGGCGCCGTGGTTTCGCTTCAATGGCGCTGCGGCGTCATAACACAGGCCTTCAGAAATTTGAAGTGGCGCCATGGCTCTGTCCCTGGGCGCCATGGCGCTGCTCGGCAAATTTACGATTTACGATTTTCTTCTCCGTAGCGCCATGGCTCGACTTTATGGCTCCTAGGCGCTTTGCTCTCAAGTTTGTAGTACTGGAGAACTTGTTTTTGGCGCCATGGCAGCGCCCATTCTTCAATTTTGCTCTAAAAATTCCTAAAAATCACCAATGGACTCCAACTGAAACAAACCTACAAAATAAATTGAAAACACATAAATAACTCCTAAAAACTCACAAAATAATGAGTTGGGAAAACACAAATGTAGACACATATTCAACTCATCAGGTCGCCTAGCCCAGCCCTAAAGCTTGAGTCTAGGTCGGGACCGAGCCAACAATGTCAGGCCTTCGGGCCAGCCTGTTTGATCCGGTCCAAACTTTCACCCCTACTAGGCCCTAAAGCCCGGCAAGCCATGCTTAGGTCAGGCCTTTATAAAGTAAATTTAAAAATTAAAAAAGTTAGATTGACAAGAAAATACTTTTGGGCCTAGACTATCGACCGGACCTGAATGCTCAAGCGTGCCGGAAGTAGACCAATAGTGATGGGTTTTAGACCGCTCCATTTAGCCCAACCTAAACTTGTAACTCTACCTACAACCCGTCCAATTCAACACAAACCAATTACTAGGAGGCAGAGTGGGGAAACCCATCTCGTAACGGATTTGAAGAACTTGTGTTTATAATATTTTATTATTAGTTAAAAAGGGGTTGGGACCACTAGCTTGTACTCGACCTAGAAACATGTCACGCATAACTACTCAAAGTTGGACTCCCCTGAAGAATCGTGTTTGGCTTGCTCTCATTACAATTAGGATTTGCAGGTTTGTGAGTTTGAGGGTAAAATATAGTGGTTGTTTGGTATAAAGATTATGAACCCGGAATCATGATTCTGAGTTCAAACCAGTGTTTGTTTCTAAAAAGTAAAAAGTGATTCTGATTTGACTCACCCATAATCAGTGTTTGGTTTGGATGGTTCTGATTCAAAGTATGAATCCTGATGTGATGTTTTAAACCATGAATCACCATTGATTCTAAAATCACCCACCCCCTTAGTGTTGGGTGGTTCAAACTCCTGGTTATGGTTATGGTTTCAGAACCATGATTTGGACCTAAAATTATGAATCATGTTTCTGGTTCCAAAATCAAAACTAGAATCATCATGATTTGAACTCTCATACCAAACGAACCCATATTCATTCCCAATTCATGGCTTCTCTCGAAGTTCCTTTTTTTTAATGGGATTGGATATAAATGAGCAAACGATACAAGAAAAATAATAATAATCTCTCACAATTATGAAAAATTAACACTATATTTTATTTTTTATTGCTAAAAATTATCCTGATAAGGCATTAAAAAATACAAATAAGATACAGTCATGAGCCATCAATTACATTTGTTTAGTAAAATAAAATAATTAAAATGAACATGATGAAAATTTGATAGTTGAAAATTTTAGTCTATCGTTAAGAGTATTTACTTTTGGGAACTTTCCTAGTAAGGATTCTTGTTTCACTATTAGTAAATATTGTTATTTTAATCACTGTATGTACTTTTTTAATAGTCTAATTTATAATAATTGTAGGCAATTATATGTTGTGCTTTAATATAGACATTCATAGATTTGACAGTTGAAAAATTAATCAAACGGTTAAAACATCAGCAGTTGGAAAAAAAAAGTTTCTATAGTCGAAATTTTGATTTGTTCTGTGACCACAAAGGTGATCAAGGTGGTGATAATATGACCTTTGACGTATGTCTTCACGATTATATCATACTCAACCTGCATAAGATTATCAAATCAAGTTGGTAGTCCAGTTGATTATCAAAAAGCTTCAATTAAATGTGCAAGGATTAAATTCCTAAAATCATGGAGAAATCATCCATAATGTTCATTTATTTAAACTTAAGGGCTAAGTTCTAGATAAGCTAATCAAGGGATAAGTATAGATCGATTAACTTAACACATCTTTGTTTAGAAAGGTATAAACAGGCAAATTCCACCACTAGAAAATTATGGGTGCATTTAGAATTCGTTCTAAAATGATTTTATTTTTTGTATGAAAATAGAAATGAAAACGTTTTCAATCTCAGACATAAATTCTTTTTGAAAATGCATTTGGTAGTTTTATCAATAGATTATTTTCAGTATAAAAAAACCTTTTAATGTCTCTTTCTCTCTCTGCTCGAGAAAGAAGAAAACGAAAACAAAAAATAAAAAACGACTAATATAATTGCACTTTTGACTATAGGACATTATGGGCCCATTTGGTAAATGTATTTGAAAATATGATTCTAATTTTACTGCATTATTTTCCTTTTCTAAAGAATTTAAATTTTAAAATTTTTCATTAATGGTTATCTCGTAAAATTATCGTCAATAAATCAGAATCACGACTTTAAACGCGTGAACTAAACGTGTTATATTTTTTTGAGGTCACATAGTGTTCATTCTTTATACAAGATAATTGAGAAAATCATACATATGGTGATTGGTGAATGTGAAATTCTTTAGAGAGAAGAAGCCCCAATGATATTGATACAATTTGTGTTTTGCAAGCATGGAAAAAGTCTTTTTCTTCTGACCAAAGTTAAGTCTCCACTCTTGTACATTAGAAGAGAAGCTCTCGCAAAATAAATGCTAACATCTCTATGGTCTCCCTCTCTTGTAAGTGTAACTACGCCAATCTCTTTGCTGAGAAAAGGAGCCCGTTTCTCTAGAAAGAGAATAAACGAACATGAATGTTAATAATATATAGAGGGCTTTGTAAAAATAACTCAATAGAAAAGTTTTATTAGTAAAATAATTTTTTAAAAATTTTTATTTGTAAAATAATCACGTTTTACAAAGAATGATTAGGTGTCATTCTTCAGAGGGCTTTGTAAAAAAAACTCAATAGAAAAGTTTTATTAGTGAAATAACTTTTTAAAAATTTTTATTTGTAAAATGACCACTTTTTACAAAGAATGATTAGGTGGTCATTCTTCATAAAAAATGAAGAAAGTCATTTTGCTAATTTCACTTTGTTGGATAGTCATTCTAGCATATTGCCCCCTTCTTCATAAAAAATGGAAGAAGGTCATTTTACACGGGAAGAAACACACCAACCGTGCATCTTTGGGAATGCAAGCATACGCACAATTTTTAAAAATATGTCTTGAAATAAAACATCTTTTATTTTTATTTTTTAATATTAGTTCATGTATTTCTATCTTTTAAATAAAAATTAATTAAGGGATGAAATTTTTTTAAAATAAGTACTTTTATTAAGTCATGTATTTAAAAGGATAGAATTTGTAATTTTCTCCTAGCCATATTAAACTGTGTTAGAGAAATATATTGGGTGGAGAATAAAATTTCTGAATATCACATAGTTATTCTCTTAACTATTAAAGATTTTAATCAAACTACATCCATTTTCACATATTTTTTTAAATCTAAAAGATACCAATACAATTAAACTTTTGAAAACACACAACATCCTATTTTTATTCATATTTCTCAATTCTGATAATAAAGTGAACGTTTGGTTCATGGATTCAGAACCATGATTCAAAATTATTTTTGATTTACGTGTATTTTTTGTGATAGAAAACACTGTAGCGAACTATGAACTATGATTCAAATCATGGTTCGAATCCCCTTACCAAACAAACTGAAAATTTGTATAGAATTTTTTAGTTTCACATTTTTAATTTTAATATTATTTTAATCAAATTTAACATTTAAAAACTCGTAAGATTATTAAGTGATTAACAATAATACTTTAGTGTGATGTGTTAAACCATATCAAATGTGAAAGTTTAGACCGTCCGACCTAATCACAATAAATTGAAAAGAGTTTTTAGATTGGTCTGAGCCGGTCTTAAAATAAGAAAAGAAGACCCACCAACCCTTAAGCCTGAAGATCAAGATGAGCCGAGTTAGCACAACTATTTTAAGTGTAATTTATTTATTTTTTAAAGACGACTTCATATGGACTAATCCAATTTGAAAATATTTTTGTGGTAGAAAAATATATGGACTTTTTTAGGTAGATTTTTTTACATCTGATTAATTTTTAACTGTTAAATCTATTTAAAATCACGAGAGATTAAAAATTTGATACAAATCTCGTGATTAAAAAATAAAAAATGATCAGTAGTATATTTTTTGGGTTACGCAGATAAACTCCCAAAAACATAATAGAAAATGTCACGAGAAATGGAAGGAGAGGGGGTTGTTGGTTCGTGTGACAAAGAGGACAGAGATAGAAGTCGGCCTGTCAAGTCGCTGTTCTTTCTTTTTATTGTTTTTCTCCCTCACTCCCTCCTCCGTATTTAACGTTAAATCACATCATTTCAGAATCAGACTAAACCGAAAAAAGAAAAAAAAAAAGAAAAAAGGCAAAAAAAAACCTTCCTCACTGACTCGTGAATATTTGATTTATAAATTTAAAATTATTTTTAATTTATATATATTTTTTATAAACAAAATATTATAATAAATTACAAATTATAATTTAAATTATGAAATAAATTCAGCACATCACTGACTCACTTCTCTTTCTTTCACTCTCTACCTCCCACATTTTACTCTTTATAAATCCCCCTTTCCTCTGACTTTTCCTCTCCATTTTTTATTTCCCTCTCTCTCTCTCCACTCACAACTGCGTCTTCTCCTTTCTGGTGGTGGGTTTTTCTGCACATTTGTCTTGGCATTTGTGTTCTTGTTTCTTATTGTTGTGTCTACTTTTTCCCGTTTCAAACTTCACATTTTCATATTCAAAGCTCAACACTCAAATCTCATGTGCACCCTTTTTTTTATTTGCTTTTCTTGAGTGCTGAGGAGCAAGAGGAAGAAAGAACAGAATAGTATATAGTAGTCTAAGTAATTAATTATTAAAGAAAAGCATAAGAGAGAAAGAAAGAAGAGATATAATCTACAAGTTTTGTTAGTTGTAGAAATAGCAAACTGAGGCAAAAAAAATCAAATCCCATTTTACCCCATCTACACAACTTGGCTCAGGTGTTATTTTCTTTCCTTTCTAGCAGATAGATAGATAGATAGGGAAGTGAGAAAAAGAGAGAAGGTTTCCATTCATTCCATTTAAACAGCACTGAAGAAATGACTAAAGAAGAAGACTTTAAGCTCCTGAAGATCCAGGTCTTTCTTTCTCTTAAACTCCTTTCTTGTCGTTCTTTAGAGTATTATTATGTTATGTTTCTATCTCTCTCTTTTTTTTTTCTCCCTTTTGCAAACAGCAAAGTTTGGTAGTTTTATTCTTTTCCTGAAGATTCTTCCTTTTCTCTTGTTTGGTTGTTTTCTTTTGTTGCTTCCTTTTTTTTTGTTTTTTTTTTTCTACAGACATGTGTTCTTAGAGTGAACATACATTGTGATGGGTGCAAGCAGAAAGTGAAGAAGCTCCTTCAGAGAATTGAAGGTGCTTAAACTCCTCACTTTTCCTTCTCATCTTTTTAGATGTGAATCTCGTCTTCTCTGTGTTACTTATGTAAACCTTTTCACATTTTACTTGCTTCTCTCTTATTTCTTTCTTGTGCACTTTTTCATTAAAGAAAATGAAAAGTTCCAATCTTTGATGTTGAATGCCATTAAAAAGATCAAAATTGCCTTTTTAGGCTTCCTGAGTTTATTTGAACATTATTTTTTCATCTTTTTGACAATTCTTCTAGATGTAAAAATGGTAAAAGAAAAGAACATTTTTCAAGTGGTTTTACTGTGATCAATCTACCACAACAATTAAAATGCTAGAACACAGTATTTGCAAATAATTACAAATTTGTCTTGATATATGTTTTTATCCTCAGACGTATAAATCTGAAGAATGTGTTACATGTCTTTAACAATGTCTTTTACTTTGTCCTGACTTTCCAATCAGAGTGTTCACTACTTGTTTTTGGTATTGGCCTTTTCCATAACAATTAAAATGCTAGAACACAGTATTTGCAAATAATTACAAATTTGTCTTGATATATGTTTTTATCCTCAGGCGTATAAATCTGAAGAATGTGTTACATGTCTTTTAACAATGTCTTTTACTTTGTCCTGACTTTCCAATCAGAGTGCTCACTACTTGTTTTTGGTATTGGCCTTTTCCATAAATCTAAAGAATATGTCACCAATTGTCTTAAACAAAGTTTTTTCGAATATTCTGATTTTTCCAACGTTGGTGTTCATAAATTTATTTCTGGATTTGCACTTCAGGTGTTTACTTAGTAAACATTGATTCAGACCAGCAAAAAGTCACAGTCTCAGGTAATGTTGACTCTGAAACTTTGATCAAGAAACTGGTTAGAGCTGGCAAACATGCTGAACTCTGGTCTCACAAGCCCAACCAAAACCAGAAGCAAAAGAACAACTGCATCAAAGATGACAAGAACAACAACAAAGGGAACCAACAGAAGCAAGGATTGAATTTGATGAAGGGTCTTGAGGCCTTCAAGAACCAACAACACCACAAGTTTGCCCCATTCGGCTGTGGGGAAGATGATGAATTTGATGATGAAGACGAAGAAGATGAAGAAGATGATGAGCTCAGGTTTATTAGGGAGAAAGTTAACCAACTTGGGTTGCTTAGGCAACAACAACAAGCAGCCATGGAAGCAAGTGAGGCAAAGAAAGGGGGTCCAAATGTTGTGAAGATTAACAACAACAATGGCCAAAATGGGAAAAAAGTACAGCCAAATCAGAACATGGGAATGAAAGCTGGTTCTCATCCAAATGGGATGATTGATCAGAAGACCATGGCTGCTCTTAAGCTAGGGAACAATCATCATCCTCAGTTTGGAAATGGTCAACTTGGGAATAATCTTAATGAAATCAGAAGATCAAATGACCTCAACACAATGATGAACTTGGCTGGTTTCCATGGAAATGGTTCCAACAATCTCTCATCAAACTCTGCAGCTGCTAATCCCAATAATCTCGGAGGAATCCAATTTCATCAACCCAACAATGGATTCCCATTATCCTCATCAAATCTCCCTAATGTCATGGCCACAGGTCAACAATGCCCTCCAACATCATCATCCATGATGATGAACATGAATGGCTACAACCATCCATCGTCAAACATGATGAACATGCAAGCTAGGCATGCCATGATGCAGCAGCAGCAGCAGCCGCCACAAGTGATGTATCAGAGGTCCCCATTTATCCCTCCAAGCACAGGCTATTACTATAACCACAATCCCTATTACCCAGCTCCTCCATACCCATCATCATATCCTGAACCTAACTACGCCAGTGATAGCTCTGCAGCCCATATGTTCAGTGATGAGAACTCAAATGGCTGCTCAATTATGTAATCATAATATCATGTCACTTATGTTTTATGTGTGTTTGTACTGTGTAGTTGTGTTAAAGACTTTAGTAAGAACAAGAAGATGATTAAGAACAAGAAGATGATGATGATGGGTTTTATTTTTATTTTTATTTTTATTTTTGGCTGCTCAATTATGTAATCATAATATCATGTCACTTATGTTTTATGTGTGTTTGTACTGTGTAGTTGTGTTAAAGACTTTAGTAAGAACAAGAAGATGATTAAGAACAAGAAGATGATGATGATGGGTTTTATTTTTATTTTTATTTTTATTTTTATTTTTTGTTGGAGTTCAGTTCTGTCCAACTTCGTTTTTTTAATGTGTCTGAGGATATGGACTGAAAAAAAATTGTGGGTTGTGATCCACAATACTAGTAGTAGTAGTTGTCGTAGTAAATAATTAATGTATAATGTGTGTATTTGAAAGTTTGGTTTCTAGTGAAGTGGGTAATGGTCAATTTTGGATTTCTCTTGTTATCATTACTTTTTTTCCCCGAGTTGTAAATTATTGGCATATAAGAGACAAGTTGGCATTGGTTACTGTACTGTGTTCAGAGACATGATGACACTGTGCAGAGGGATTTATGAAGCAAAGCTTTGTTTGCTGTGCTGGGTTGGTTGACAATGCCATGGGCCTTGTTATGTGAGCGTTAGGTAGATAGATAGGATCACGTGACTTGCACGTGCACGCATGTGTCTGTGTATATATATATATATATATTTGTATATAATTTCTCGTGTGTGTGTGTGTTTGTCAATTTGATGCCGACAGGAGGACCACGAAACCACTGCATGCGCTCCTTTGTCAGTTGTGCTTTTATGTGAAGTTGTTAAACGTTGCAAGTTGCCGAGTTTAATTAAGTTTCTGAGTACGGTATTTGAAGAAAAGTTAGTAGGAAATGTAGATCAAAAGATTAGTAGGATATGGACTAATTAAGCAGTGTCAGACTTATAATGAATCTAGGCCTTAGTTTGACATATTTTTTGCAAGTTATAATGATGCAATTGATGTTCATAAAGTTAGTCAAAGCTTTAGTTCGAACTTTGCGGGGTACATAAGTATAATAATGGGAGAAGTAAGTTTATGTTCTAGTTGTAAAACTGATGATAGAATGCGTGGAAGCATACTGCCACAATAGTAAAAATTAATGATGATATTCAGAGACCAAGAAGGTTAGAATCGCAGAATAAAATAACAGGAAAGGTTTTTGAATAAAATGTTGGAATTGCAGAATAAAACAACTAGTAGTTTTAGTGACGTGAACTAGGCAACAATAGAACAACCCTATTATGCATTTGATATTGATATAATGTGCAGGGAGGGAGCCCCCTCATTTCTTTTTCTTTTCATTTTTTACCTATAGTTATATAAGAATATCTCTAAAAAAATTGAACAAAGCCCTCTCCAAAAAATTAAAAATTAAAAATTTTACCTCTTTAAATTTGTGTTGTAATTAAATATGCTTAATGTTAGAATATAATTTTATTATTGACTTAATAGATAGTAAACTAACATGATATAATATTAAGCATGTGGTTTTGTGTTTAAATTCCTCTATTTGCAATTTAGTACCATGTCGTATGTGGGCCTATTATCACAAATTATCCATGATCGGCCCATCACATTGTCTATTTTGCGGTACATAGTTTATTCGGAAATAGTAGAAAATACGTCAATATGAAAAGCTTAAAATAGTATATAGGTCAATTTTTAGTTATAAAAATTAATAGGTCATAACTTGTCAGGTTATGGTTCATAACCAGATAAGTTATGGTTTATAACCAGACAAGTTATGGATAAAAACTGTGAATTATGGACAATAACTTGTCAAGTTATGGTTCATAACCAGACAAGTTATGGACAAAAACAGTAATTTAGTCTATTTATTAACTTATGTAAACTATTGACCTATTAATTTTAATTTATCTCAAGTATTGGCATATTTTCCTCTTTCTCCCTAATTTATTATGGTTTTGTAAAAGTCTATAATTTATGGTATTATAAATAATTTGATGTCATTATAACTTTTTATTTTCTTTTTATTACTTAAATAACGGTTATTTATTTTTGAGTGAAGTAACATAAATAATATTTTTTATCATCTTAAATGATATTTCTAGTTGTTTTCCGCGTTGCCTTTGCATTCTTCCCTCCTCCTTTGGTTGGACATGCTGCGTACTTTGTTTGGTCTAGGCCCACACATAAAGAGAAGCATTAAAATATAGTAATTGTCGTAGATGATACATTTTTGAAACCTTTTAAGTAAATAACATAATTTTAAAACGATTGAAACACATAGCAATTTACTAGTAAATAGTAATTTACTACGTGTAAATAATTTATAGGATAATGGCCAAAGTTTTATAAAACTAGCAAAATGGCCATTTTTTTTAATTAACTCAATGGTCAATCGTTGGCTGAGTTAATCAATCTATCATTGAGGCTTCGTTCACTTCGCAGATTTGAGTTTTTAATTTGAGTTGAGATGTGACATTTTCTGATAGCTTTTCACTGTAGCAGAAAAAGTTAGATGTGATATTTTCTGAGAGCTTTTTACTGTAGAAACCTAAAACTAAAAACTCGAATCGGTGAAATGAACGAGGCCTGATTAATTTAATGGTCAATCAGTGATTGACTAGTCTATCATTGATTGATTTAGCAGTCTATTACTCATTAATTTTAGTTTATCACTGATTAACACGATGATTCTTTATTGTTAATTAACATCAATTAATAATTAACTAATATCAATTTGTAATTGATTAATTTTAATAAAAAATTACTGTTTATTTACGATAAACCATTAGAAAAATTAATAATGAATCGATCAATTATTGATTGACCATGATCAATCACTAATTAACTGTGAGTCAATAACTTATTGACGTAGATTAATCACTGATGGACTACAGTAGAAAAACGATAATTTTCCTAAAATAAAAATATTTCAACCATGTGTTAAAGGATAAAACTTCAGCCATTCATAAGAAAGGTGGTCAAAAAACAACCATTTAGTTAATTTTCTCATAATTTATTAATCAATGAATATTCAGCGTAAGTAATTTATTTACCCTAAAATATTTTATTTACTTCAAAAACATATATGCTATTTACCTTTCTATTCTTATAATATAATATTATTGTTGATCCATTTCTTAATGGCTTAAGTTTGGGTATAGTTTGGTAAACTGATGTTGAAAAGCAATTCACATGCTAGGTTTTAGCAAAATTAAGCAATAATTGGTAAGGCAACTTTACGGTCTTGTGTTTACGCAAACTGGGAGGGGGTTTGGAAAGATGGGGAATAAGGAGTTATATAACAAAAATTTAACCAATTACATCTATGATTTTCTTTCTGTGCTCTAGAGTTGAGTGAATAGTGTTAGGTATTTTTATTAGTTGGCAATTTATTGACAATCTTATAAAAATTCAAAAAATAGGTTCAAGAAGATTTCAGATTGCGGAAGAAGAATTCGAATCAGATTTGAAGTTAAAGTTACAGATTTTATTGAGTTGAGATTTGAAGAGATAAAAATAAAGACTTGGTCAAAAGAAGATAAGACATTGGTTGATAATTAGAGAAATAAAGATAAGGCATTGGTTATTTGAATTTAAATGGGAGATAAAGCTTGCATGAAGATCAAGTTATTTTCAGATTTAAATTCTTGGCTTCATCCGATTATTGTTAGGATAGTTGAATGACTTATATATATATATATATATATATATATTCACGTGAGCTATACAATGAAGCTTGAGTTGCACATGAGAATTGGAACTTGAAATTTAACTTGGTTAAAGAAAAGTCAAAGATAACTTGCTATAATGAAAGATAAGGTATTGACATGGAGATGGCTAAGAGAATATTAGATGTTGCAGATAAAGCTGAGGAGGATTTTTTGGTATCTGAATATAGGTTCAAAAGTTGAAAAAGGAGATACGTGGAATGAGTTTATATGGGAAGTCAGGAAAAGGGGGGTCGACTACAAGAAAAAGTCTTGTGATAGAGAATCGGTGCTTAAGTAGAACAATCTGTAGTTTATGTTTTTTCTCATTGAAAGTATGAACAATTGAAGGGAGTTCAGCAGTTAAAAGTGAAGACGTGTGGTACACGCTAAATAGTGTCATTGTGAGAGTTCATCACAACGGCGTCATAATCTAGGAGGGAGTCATTGAGTGAATAAGTCCATCAAGGTTGTAATTCTTAAATCATAGTAGTGTCATTGTGAGAGTTCATCACAACGGCGTCATAATCTAGGATGGAGTCATTGAGTGAATAAGTCCATCAAGGTTGTAATTCTTAAATCATAGTGAAACTGTTTACTGTTTGGGTGTGGCCCCGCAGAGTAGGTGTGTGCACCGAACTGTGATATCATATTATGTGTTTCTTTATTTCTGCACTTTATTTTACTCGAATAACTGAACGTAATTAACTCAGATATAACAACTAGTATTTTTTTCCGTGAAGAAAAAAAAGTTAAAAAAATAGATGGTGGTAGTATCTTGATAATCTGGGAGAAACAGTGCATTTTTGCGTGATATATACTTTTAAAAAAGAATTAGCCTTACTCACCGTGGTGTGAACAATAATATACTGATACATGTAAGAAGAAGAGTGAAAATAATGGAGAAACTTTGAATTCAATGCATGAGACTATTATAATAAATCGGCCTTATACAGATGAGCAAAGCTATAGATTATAATAATTCTGTACATATAACAAAAAATAACTGAGTAAAATATTAAAATAATAAATAAAGTCGAATAGTGAATAAAAAATGTGCAATTTTAACCGTTTGTGTGTCATTTATTTGCAAGTTAATCATAATTAATTCTATGGTTCTTGTATTATTCTCTAATCTAATCCTTTGTTTCTAATCCCGAAAACCAACGAGATAGACTCGGTGACCAAGCATATAAAATAAAAATAATAGTAATAAATAACAATGAGGGAAAAAAATAAATTATTAGACGAAGGATAACCTTATAGTTCCATGTATAAATAAATGTCAAAAAAGAATTGTATGATAAATGGAATCATTGCTTTGATAGAAATAAATTCGTTTTTGAAGGCCTAGCTCGTGCAAGAAAATTATTAGGAGATTTTCTCATGTGCGATGGCCTGGATCGAGCTAAGCAGCCCACCTTGCAGCAGCCAAACGGCCCTATTTTGTGTGCTGCAGCAGCTAAACGATGAGGGCGTTCTTTCTGTTATCTCAGTGCGGTTTCTTAAATTGGGTCCTTGAGTTATTGTTCAAGCCACTCGAAGCCCAACTCAACGGGTTTCCGAAGCTTCCGTTGGAGTTGTTCAAGTATAAAGCAAAAAGCGTACTATTTCATTGTTCCACATGAGAAAGGCATAACATTTTTGACTACTTAAGGACACACTTTTTAGTCGGCTCTTAAAGTACTAAGGCACACCAGTGAGGTTGTAGAAGTGCACTTGGCACTTGTCGAGAACGTGACACTTGAAAAAAATACTGCTTAATTTTTTTTTTAAATTATTTCGTTTAAAATTTAGATTGTTAAATAAAATTAAATTAAAATAGATTTTGAAAGATTATCACCTTTCAGAAACAATAAAATTTGAATTTTAGAATTTTAGAAAGATTGTAATATTTTTGAATGGGTAGCTGTTATTTTCTAAAATGGTGTTTCAAATTGTATAACAGGAATACATAGAAATTAAACACAATTAAAATTCATAACACACACTCTCTCTCCTAGACACACTGCATTCTTATTTTCTTTTTGTAAGTTTTCAGTTTTTGCTTACTGTAAATTTAACAAAGACCTTTCATATCCCAGAAGCGGTTTGTTATTGAAACCCAGAGCAATCTCATCCGGGAGGGGACAAATAATGCTTCAAGGAAAGCGTATCTCATATGTGTTTCAAGTTTCTACACACCAAATGTCCAACAGCTTCTGTTATAGATGATTTTAAGGAAGTTATCTCATGTGATGATGTTTGCTACGTTTTCTGGAATGAAAATTTTGTAGCTCAGTGTTTAGCTATTTTCTGTTGTTTCTATTATTATAGATGATATTAAGGAAGTTATCTCCTGCGGCGTTGTTTCCTACATTTTCTGGGTTTAGCTATTTTATGTTGTTTCTAATTTCGATAATTCAGAATTCATTTGTTTTATGGTTTGAACAAAAAAGTTTTTGTTTAATTTTTTTTTTTTTTGAGTTTTTCTGGCAGGATCGTAAAAAATAACTTATTAATAATTTATACTTTTTAATTGTTAAATATGTATAAAAAATTGTATATTTTACATATTTTTTTAATCTTATGTGATTTTTATTAAATCTAACTGTCAAAAAATGACACTATCGATGCCTATCGGAAAAAGTCCTTTTTGTTGCTAAAATATTTTTCTCTTCTCTCATGAACATTTAAATAAATTGGAATTTCTGTTCAAATTTTTAAACGAACCATGCATCCATTTGGTTAGATTATATGTTATCATTTGTAAAGCAGACTTTTTACTTTATCTTTTTCTCCTTTAATATTAATTAATTAATTTTTGAAAAAAATTGTTGATTATACATCATTACATCTTGACTATATATGATCACGGTTGGGACAACAAAATTTATCAAGCTGCAGGTGGTTCATTATATCTAGTACTAGAAGTTTTTTTGACATTTATAATAATACATCTATATACTAGAATGTTCAATCAAATAGAACTAATTAAACTATAATACAATTCTTTCCAAGAAAAAAAAAACTATAATACAAAGTTTGTACTTCAAAAAAAAAGAGAAAAATTATGCTTGTGACCTTTTTTAATCACCTCTTTTCATAAATGATAGAATTTTTTTTTTATATTACAAAAATGACCGTTTTTATTTTCATGATTCAATCAGTGATTAATTAATGGACCATAATCAATCAGTAATTGATTTACAATCAATCATGATTAAACGATTGTTAATTTATTAATAATTTATCATTAATAAACATGTAATTTATAGATTAAAATTAATTAATTAAAATTAATTTTAGTTAATTATTAATTAATATTAATTAATAATAAAAAAATAATTGAGTTAATCAGATAAATTCGAATCAAATTGATCGGTAATTCAATGATTAACCGTGACCACTAAGTTAATTAAAACGATCATTTTTACAATTTTACAAAGTTTCGGTTATTTATGAAAAATATCCTTTAAAAAAGGTCATTTATGCCTCCCAAAAAAAAAAAAAAAAAGTCTTGTTTGAGAGGGATGCGATTATAGATACACTCGTATCATTCTTCTCCTTATTGTCAAAGGCCAGGCTATATATACACAGTTTATTGAATTACATATTTCCTTTATCTTTGTTTCGATCCCCACAGCTGTAGCGATAACTATGGCGACGGGGCTTGTCCGAATTTATCTGGGTTGGAGTCACTTGGTTCCATGAAAAGCCCTCTGCGGCATCACTGTCGAACGTTGGGTTGCTGAGTAAGCCTTTCAGAAGCAGTTGGGATAAGCTTAGCCTTACGAGCTTGAGTTGATCATGGCTTCTGAGGACGTGTTCCGAGAAAACGACAGATGAACACCGGGACTTCGTTCTGTTACCGAAGCTTCAAAGACAATGGAGTTGTTGACGCTTTGCGCGTTGCCGTTAAGACAAGGTATTGGCCCCGAGGCTATCCGGTCATTGAATTCCTTCCCATTGTTGCTTGCTTCTCCATCAGTGGTGGTTTCATGGCTCTCATCCGGGTCAGTCTGGTAACCACGGTGAATGTGGATTGAGCCTTCCTTTTCTGCAGCTTCCGAGGTCAACTGCATCAGAGCTCCTCTGTTATGACCGGTTAAGGTAACGACAGTGACCGGTTTTTCATCGAACCGGGGTCTGATAGTCAACGTACGAACGAGCTTAAAAATATCTTTTTTGATCTCTCGTTGTTGTGGAGCTTCTTCTGTTGGTTGTGATGGAATGACAGTTTTGATTTGCTTCCCAATAGAGCTGGTGCTGGTTATTGTTTCCTTTCTCTCCGAAGTCTCTTGCTTTCGCTTCTTTCTTGGCGCTTTACGCGCAATGTTGTGCGTTTCTTTGGTGCCCTTTCTTGTACCTGAGGCTTCAATGACGGTCTTCTGCGTTGGTTCTTCTTTATCAGTTGCTTTTGCCGTTTTTTCTTCTTTGGGAATTTCCTGAATTGGTTCCTTTGGTTCTCTCTCAAATTCTAAACGAGGCTTTTGATCTCCGGCAATTGAACTCACAGGTTCATCTGTAGCTTCTCCGGAAGCTGGCGTGGCTTTTGCGGGGCTTGAAGCTTTTGTGCTGTCGTCCCTTGCCTTTTCATCATCTCGAGAGTCGGGTTTCTCCGATGTCTCGGATGTAATTTCCATTATTGGTTCAGGCTCTTGCAATGGAGTTTGAGACGTCCATTTCTTTTGTGACAGATCAGTGACAACACCATTTGTTGGCGCTAGTTCCTCTTGATTAGCCTTCCGAGATGGAGAAGAAACTTCTGAAGTAGTTTCCTGAGAAGCCGCCCGAGATGGGGAAGAGTCTCCTTTTGAAGGTGAAGATGCTGCAAAGGTTTCTTTGCTTTGATCCCTCTTCTGAGATGGCGAAACAGTCTGGAAATCGACTCGGGATTCAGCTGCCGCATGAGACGGTGATGGCCTGGAAGTAGCTTTCGGGGACTCGGTGGCTGCACGAGGTGGTGATGGTGGTATGGCAGTTGCACTAGATGGTGAAGAATCTGATTGTGAAGTGTCCTTCCGGGGCTCGGCGGCTGCAGAAGATGGTGATGCTTGTTTTGCAGTTGTAGCAGATGGTGAAGAAGATGTTTGTGAATTGGCTTTTGGGGATTCAACTGTTGTGCGGGATGGTGAAGAAGTTGAATGGGAAGTATCTTTCCGGGCATCGTCGGCTGCAGAAGATGGTGATGGTGGTTTAGTAGTTGCACCGGATGATGAAGTTGATGGGGAAGTGATCTTTGGAGATTCGGTTGCCGCAGGAGATGACTGTGGTTGTTTAGCATCCGTAGCCAAAGGTGATGTTTTTGTGGCTTCGGCGGCTGCACTAGATGATGATGGGGGGGATGACTGTGGCTCGACTTTTGCACGTCGTTGAATGGGAACCGCTGTGGTTGGCTGTGATGGTGGTCGGGTGGTTTTGCTTGTCGGACGAGGGCGTTGTGGTTGGGGTGTGGTGCGTTGAGGGCTCGACCAAGGGAGACGAAAGCGGAATGGTTTTCTTTTTTCTGCCATGGGTTATGGTTTATTTTTGAAGGGTTCTAATCAAATGGAGAGGTTGATGTTTTTTGACATATTTTCAATATTCATTTAGGAGTGTAATATGTATAAGAATGCCATTGATACCTTAGAAAATTGTTGGGATTGTTTGCATTAGGCTTTTGGCGTGGAACTTTCACCATATACTTTGCTTTGATGCCCTTTTAGAGAACAAACCAATATTGAATTCTTTTGGGCAGATTTTCCTTCGTTTGTGGGACTAGAATCCCATTGTTTGTCCCTTTCATTTAGATTTCTCAATGTCCTTGCTGTTTTCTAGAGGAAAGAGCTTGATTTCTTGACAAACTAAATAAGAGTACTTAATATCTTATTAAAAATTAAAGCTTTCTTCATTCATTCATTGAAGAAAAGAATTAGACAAAACGACATTCACAAGTAAGAGATGAAGAAAAGAGATTCCATTGCTTCATTGAATTCCTTGCATACGCATGCACGTTTATAGCTTTGTCCGTGCCTATGTAGCTTCCAACCAATTCCTGTCGTTTATTATTATTATTATTTATTATTATTATTATTTATTATTATTATTATTTTTTTCTTGTGTTCAATCTTAAAATTCTCAGCACGTAATTCTTGTCAATCACTCACTATTCCAACAACCACTTTCTCCTTTTTATTTCCTCTCTCATCTCTTTCCAGGGAAAAAATATAGGAGTTCAATTATAACTTAAAAGCAGAGAAAGAAAAGATGCAAAGAATTGTCCAGGCAGTAAGATCTTGCCAAGAAGTAGTGAAAGCCGCAAAGTTGCAGCATTCGCATGGAAGAGAAACAACCAAGAGCGGAAAGATATTTTCTCGTTTTGGATGGATGACCCCGTCTTCGTCCGTGCAAGAGAAAGGACTAGAGAATGTCACAGTGGCGGAGATACTAATGGCAAAGGGAGGAGAAAGCACTGGGCCTTGGCTCTGGTGCAATTCCAACGACGCAGTTAGTGATGCTGCAAAAAACGTACGTTTAAATAACTTCGATCACTATCACATTTCTAGCAATTTAGGAATGTGTATTACTTTTAAAGATATGATGGTGTAGGATTACATGATGTCAATTGTCAATAAGATATTTTTTATACTCTATCATAGAATTCTCTTTAAATGTACGATAATACGGAGTTATGTACAATTGCAGATGGCTAAAAACAACATCGGATCATTAGTGGTACTAAAGCCAGGACAACCACTCCATGTTGCTGGAATTATCACAGAAAGAGGTTAACATCTATCTCTCTATTATTTCGTTCGAGCCGGCATTAAATTCTCTGTCATTCTACTAAAAATAATTTCCAAACCCCCCTTTTTTTTTCTCGTGTTGTGAATGCAAGCAGACTACCTGAGAAAAATAGTCTTAGCAGGAAGATCTCCTGTTCTAACTAGAGTGTCAGAAATAATGACCGACGAGGTTTCCATCGCGCTTTCCTTTTAAAAATTTAATCTAATCGCAACCTTTTTTTATTCTAACTCTGCCTTAAAACATTTTTACCTTCAACAGAAGAACTTAATAACAGTATCATCTGACACAAACATTCTTCAAGCAATGCAGTTAATGACAGGTAATCCATCTCATAAATTCCTAATATCCCTTATTATTGTAGAAAGGGTTCCCCCCGTTTGATTTTCAGGTTGGAAATCATGCGATTGACCTTTTTTTAACCTTCAATTTTTTACTATAGCGAAAAAGTTCAAATCAACAAATTGAGAGAAGAGGGGCTCTAATCTGTTAATTCGAACACACAATCCTAATTTTTTGTACTAACACGGATTTGGGTCGTGCCTAATTCAAATTTGATGGCATGAGTCCCAACTTATGAACCAAACACATTGGACGTCAAAATTCCTCAAGATAGCTGTTCTTTTTCTTTCCTCCAAAATAGAAGGTAAAATCACAAACATTTTTTTATGCCTACAGAAAATCAGATTAGGCATGTTCCGGTTGTAGATGGGAAGCTGGTAGGCATGATTTCAATCAAGGATGTTGTCCGAGCAGCGGTGGAGCAGCAAAGTGGGGAGTTGAAGCGACTAAATGATTTTCTTAGAGGCGAATACTATTAGATTCTTGTGGACTTTTTTAAATGTTTTATTTGAACTTTGGAATTTCAGATTAGTTTAGTTCAATTAAACTGTGGATTATGTGGATATGTGTGTTACAACACAGACAGGGGAA